TCCCCAAACCACCACTGGGACTCTTCGGAGCCTCTTGCGGAATTGAATATATTGGACCCTAGACACTTCTCAGGACCGAGGAATTCACTCTCTATGGAAGGCACCAGGTTGTGACCACCTTTGGCCCAGTGATTTGACTGGGATCGTGGCACAAATTTCTGGACCAAAACATAGGGAGCTCGCCTGGAAGATCACCCAGGTAAGGGAGCCGAGTTTCTTGGCAAGGTTCCTTGATACCTCTGAGTTTCTGTGACCATAAGTCAGCCTATTTGTACGGCGAGCTCACCTGGGGGTAGAACGAGCTCACCATGATAAAGGTCCTTTGCTAAAAAATCCTTATTTTAGGTTTGGGACATAATGTAACAACATGCAGATAAGAAGTGATATGTTTTGTTCTGTGCTCTGTGCCCTCAAGTTGAGTTTGTGATTCTGAGACGACCCCTTGGAACCTTGGATTGCCGTTCAGCCCTTGGTTTAAGGTGTTCAGGCTACGGTAGATGTGACATGTAGGTCTGAGCATAGATACGGTTTATTCCTCAAATTGGGCAAACCCGATGCCCTTTGCTCTGCTGGTTTTCCCCTGTCGATCTTCCGTTTGCGTCCCCGGCTTCAACTCCGTCAGTCCGCCCTCAAAGAAGGCCTCAACAACCCTGACGCCCCGAGTCTGAAGAGGAATCGCTTTTCTCAGGCTGCAAACAATTCGATGCTTCCATTTGCTTAAGAATACTTTTTTATTTTCCCTTGTTGGGTTTTAAAGGGAATCTATCCCGGGGGCCTAAGCAAATGGAAGAGCTTTGGCTATTCCGCGGGTTCCCTGGGGCTTCTCCCCATGCCTCGGCAGGCGTCTTACAGATTTGCCTCTTCGCTACCAGCGAGCTGAACGCTTCCAACGCGCCTAGTCCGAGTTCTCGTGGTCCCCCAGTAGTGCCCTTTTACCCTTTTTGGGGGGAGGGTCCCCTACTAAAATAGAGTACAGCAAATTGGGTACCCTTGTTCTAACCTCTCTACTGGAGGACCTAGGTGTCATACTTGTACCAGCCATGATTCAAGATCATCTAGACTAGAACCTAGCTACGGCCGCCTGTTTCAAGGGCACAGGCACAGAGGGACAGAGACAAAGAGACAGAGTCAGAAGGCACCTGCCTTGTGCAAGGGCAACACCTCCAAGCACCCAAGCACCGACGTGTTGCTCCTGCGTGTTTCTGTGTGTTTTCACCACATGCAGCAAGTGCACGGGAAAGTGCTCGCAACCTTCCCGATGCCGCGCGGCGCAAAAAAACTGCGGGGATGGCATTTATTCATTTGCTAACTGGATGGCTATGTCCAAGATTTCTGTCATCCCGTGGGTGTGGGCACAGAATGTTCGAAACATCGCCCAAGATTGGCGCCTTGGTCTTCCTCCCGTGCAGGGTTCCAGATATATTGGCCCTTTTGGTGGCATTACCAGCCGGTCTTTTTTTTGGCGGGCAATTTCAAACTTTCACTTCCTTGTGGGGTGATACTGTGGACATCCTGCACCAGTTGGGATGAACGATCTATGACTGCTGGCCCAGTGTTTTGGGCGCGAGAGTTCCATACTCTTTGTGCCTTCCGCAGGGGCGGTTAGGAGAGCGAAGGTGATACTTTCTGATGCAGCCTTGTTCTGATGGAATTTCAACGTCCACTCCCCGGCGGATTTTCACATGGAACCCTGAGAACCATCCTATGCATCTCCCTGCAGAGCGCGCCCTGTTCTTTATCGATTGGGGGTCTGGGGAGCTGGTTTAAGACCTCGTTGCTATTGTTGCTTCTCACTTCTCTCGTACTTTGCGATTTCGCAGATCGCAGGTGTAAAACCGCAAGAAACAAAACATTGCAAGAAAATGATAATATATATATATATACATAGAAATATACATACATACGTGTATATATATATATATATATGTGTTACATATATGTACACACATGATATTTGTTGTACAATGTTTCTGTACCAAAAACCCGGCGAAAGCTCCAAGGGCGCGCTGATCAACTACTGGCTTGCCATGCTCTTCGGCTGCGCCGGGGAGTCCTTGCTCAGCACGCCCGGACACCCAGTCTGAGGGCCGCGAGTTCGGCCGCAGTCTGTGGCCCCGCAAAAAAAGAAAAAGCTGCAGGAGGCCTCCCAGTTGCTGCATCTTTTTTTTTTTGTTTATATATATATATATTTTATGGGGAATCTATCACTACTGGACACATGTTATGTTTTGTCCAGAGGTCTTAACCCGATGGAAGAGGCAAGGTGGGTGAAGCTTCTAAGAGGCAACCAAGTATGCGTTCAGGACCAAGAGCGGCTTGAAAGAATTGAAGGCGCTTGACCATTCTACTCAACTAGAGTGTGGCTGGAGAGAGAAAGTGTCAGGAAGGAGAGGGGCCAAAAAGGTGGTTACCTTTCGGTTCCCCTTCCAACCAACCAAGAGAAAGAGGGCATCCTTCAAGCAACCTGCCCAAATGAGCGTGGGGTTTATGGGGAAAGCTAACCTTCTCCGGGGATTCGCTGCCATGCTTTCAGTTTCCAGGTGCTATTGCCACCTTGGGGCAAGAGAGGCAGCCATCCTCCCTTGGGTGAGGATCGGGGTGAGCTTTTTCTCTTGGTGTTTTGGACAATACATGTGCCCCTAAGAATGCAGATTGTCCTGAATAACAGGTTCCGCTAGCCTATGCAAACGGATGCTCGCCATGTTGGTCCGGCCAATGGGTCAAAACGCTGGCTTGCTTTCCCAGTATAGGTCTACTTTTCAGGAAAGGTTTACCTTTGGCACTAAGGCCTTTTGGTTGCAAGTGACGGCAGCATTGAAAGCATAGATTGAAGCAGGGCAGACATGGTGGGCTCCCAGTGCTTGAAACAGATGTCTATTGATCCTACAATCCTACAAGGGGGACGCTGAATTGCTGAATTGGCAAATGCCGAGGTATGACATCCGCGGCCCGGTGAGGCAAATCATCTTCCTGTTGCTCTTTCTGTTCATGTGAGGATTTGCCGACAGCAAATCTGTCCGCCTTGAGTGTGCAAGAGACTCCGGGTGCAGTTACAAACCAGGAGAAGCTTAGGCTCAACTCGACTTGAAACAGCACATAAGTACACAATGGTGAACTGCGCTGTGACAGACTTATCTTGTCATCGTCAAGGCTGGCGAGCTTTAGTATTAGCGCTGGATATGCAAAGTCTGCTGCGCTCCTGCAATGGCGCTCTTGTTGGGAGGCTCGGAAAACATTGGGAATCGATCCAAAGATCCCATGATTTGAATGTGTACACGGCAGATTGCAGAGAAGTGAAGGTCAATGAGGGCTTGATTGATGCCTTCCGGGCAATCTTGGGCTTTCCATGTGTAGAGCCTCAAAGGCTCCATGGGCGGCCATGTCAATCGGTCGCTTGCAGCGGCTGTGGCAAGTCTCGCGCGAGCAAAATGCCAGAATCGCTCACGGTCTCCGGCTTCCAGGCTCTCCCGTGCGAGTTAACATGGATCCCTCAAACCCTAGCGTTTCGCCCCCATTAAAAGAAAGGTTGACCCAATTTGGATGATGACCATCCTCAGGAGAACTATGGCTTTATGAACCCCCATTGTTTCAATGGTGCTTTGAACCCCAGGGCAAAGGCGTTCCACCAGATGCCTCTACGTGCACGTGGTGTTGGAGGTTCTATATTAAGTATTAAACTTTAAAAGCTTATGTCCAAAGATTCTCGACTTGATTTGTTTGCGGAGACAATTTTGGTTTGATTTCAGCCAGTTTGATTTAACAAACTCATCGAGCATGTGAAGTCATCACAGCTTCAAACGGCTTCAATTTGATTCTTTGTGGGAAGGATATTATCGTGAGAACAAATTGTTCGGTGCGGGCAAATCCGCGACGCAGATTTTCACATCTTCAAATGGCTTCCTTTTGCCTGATGCAGCTTTATACTCCCGGAAAGAGCTCAAGAAGCTTTTCGGCATATGCTGCTCAAGCCGAGCCCGGCTATAGTGCGGAATTGTGCAACATGCAGCGCCCTTCAGCGTGATGTCGGGTTGCCAAAAAAATGGAATCCATGGCAACAACCTCCTTGTGTATGGGACATCGGGTGACCCCTGTAAGGGCCCATTGCAAAATGAGCTCGAAATACACCCAGTGCAGTTTTTGTATATCCTGACAATAATGGAAAGTCGGACAATCGATCCCCGTTTCGGATGGTGTGAACCAGTCAAATCGAAATACGTCTATCCCTATTCTTGGAGCTTCCCAGTTCCCATGTTCCCCTCACATCACGAACATTTTAACACGAGCCCCTGTGCTTCAACGAGTAAACGCCCCATTCCTATGTTCAGGACGATCATAGGCCGGCTCGAGTTCCCCAATGCGCGTTGGGGTTTCGGGTGACCGAGAACAAAGAAGTGACAGCCGATGCCTGAAACCGACTTGAGCAGCTAAAGTGTTCTGCGACTGGGATACACAAAATCGACCCTCCCTCCCTCCCCCCTAAAAAATGGACCCTCTCTCCCTCCCCCCCCGAAAGAAAAAAGGACCCTCCCCGCCCCTTTTCCCCGCCGCTTTTTCACGAACTGGGAATCAGCCGTGGTAGCCTCAGCACCTGGAAAATAGTCCGGAGCCGCTCTCCGCTGCCAGCTGCACGTTTTTCCGGCCCAAAGCTGAAGACGGAGACCCCAAAGCTGTCTGCCGTTTGGGCATGCAGTTCCAGGGGTACCTTCCAATTCCATTCTTTCCAGGGATCCTTCTTTCTAGAAAACCTCCGGACACCCAGGGAAAACGGCCGGTTTTTGGAAAGAGCAATGGTTGAAAAGAGTGGACAAGGAATCACCCCCTAGAACAGGAACTACAATCCGAAAAAGAAAATGGGCCACCTCGCTGCCCGCAGTTTTTTGCTGATGAATGGTCCTTCGAAGGGTCCGTTTCAGATTCCACATTCAGTGGCTCAACATGGCGGGTTGCCCAAAATGGCATCCTTCACACACAGAGGGTTGCTTCCCAAAATTGCCCTCCGACTGAATTACTGCCATCCGCATGCCGCTGAGCTTCCACTTCCCTGATGATAGCGCCCTGGCACCTGTCCTTTGGGCTCGTGCGGAATGGGTACGCTGTTGATTTTAGTTGGGGATCCCTTGGGATTTGTGTAGAGCAGTTTTTGAGAGCATTGCCCGTTGAAACACACACCCGAATAGCTATATAATGTTGACCCCGTATTAGTCTGTAACCCCCCCCCCCCCCTTGAAGGTTGGAAGGTTTTGGGGGGGCAAGATTTTGGAAGGTTTTTTGCCATGACCCCTAAACAATCTGGAATTGAGTTTCAATTGATTTAGTATTGCTGGGGCTTCCTTTCGAGATCTGGAATTGAGTTTCCATTTGATTTAGTATTGCTGGGGCTTCCTTTCGAGATCTGGAATTGAGTTTCCATTTGATTTAGTATTGCTGGGGCTTCCTTTTGAGATCTGGAATTGAGTTTCCATTTGATTTAGTATTGCTGGGGCTTCCTTTTGAGATCTGGAATTGAGTTTCCATTTGATTTAGTCTTGCTGGGGCTTCCTTTTGAGATCTGGAATTGAGTTTCCATTTGATTTAGTATTGCTGGGGCTTCCTTTTGAGATCTGGAATTGAGTTTGCATGGCCCCCCCAATGGGATTCCATGAAATTTGATGAGGTTTCCATTGAGATTGAGTCACTTTTCCATCAGGTTTGCATGGCCACCCCAATGGGATTCCATGAAATTTGATGAGGTTCCCATTGAGATTGAGTCACTTTTCCATCAGGTTTGCATGGCCACCCCAATGGGATTCCATGAAATTTGATGAGGTTTCCATTGAGATTGAGTCACTTTTCCATCAGGTTTGCATGCCACCCCAATGGGATTCCATGGCTCGAATCTGGCTGATTAGGCAGGCATGGTCCAGCAATGGCATCTGGAACATCAAGCTCATCAGGCCTAGGCTCATGGGAGGAATTGTCAGTATCAGCTCTATCAGCTCACAATGAGGGGCTGGAATCAGATGAGGACCTGGCATCAGTTGGGCATGACTCTGCATATTGGGCCAACATGTACACAGGATTGGTCCATATTGGGAGGATGGAGAGGCCATTACAAGCTGAGGTCATTAATATCATTGGCAGGTTTGTTGGCCTATCCAGAGCTGATACATGGTGGGCATTGCCATTGGGTGGCATCACATGTCAGTTCTGCTCTCTGGCCAATGGTGGATATTCAGATACATGGACCATGATGGGCTGGCTCATTGCTTTTGCAGATGAGGGCAGTGAGATGATGATTGGCCACAATGAGACTGTCTTCATTGAGACAGACATGTTTTAACATGATGCTATAGGAGAAAGTGATGGGCAGTGCATCAGTGCATGTGGCAGTGGTGAGGCTTCTGAGGCTCCCATATTGCTTTCCATGAGACTGTGGGAGGTAGATTTTCATGAAATTTCCATTAGCCCCCATGAGTTTCCATGAGTTTACAGTGGGTTTCCATGAGGTTCCATGAATTTCCATGCAGCTGTTGGCTCTGGCATATCAAGAATCCAGCCATGAGTAGTACCATGCTGATGGGATTGGGTGCAATTGCTGTGATGGTTCTGGCTGTCATGATGAGTATGCAACCAGTGCCATGACTGAAGAGAAGAGGAAATACATGTGAGAGTGTTGCATTCCAATGAAACCACCATGAAGAGTAGTCCACATGAGCTTCAGGAGATGATCCACCATGCCATCCTGTATGCCCTGATGGCCACTATGCCTGTCTGCTGCTATTTGGTATATTTGGGATTGATGATGATGCAAGAATTCCAGGTGGCTATGCATGAAAACAATGCAATCCTATCAGCCCTGAGAAGGAGGACACTGAAGCATGGGGGTGCATTGGGTGCATGGGTGCATTGCAGGACTGATCAGGCCCATGGTGGCATTGGATTTAGATGCTGGTCTATCAGCAGGAGAATCATCAGAATGAGAGGGTGGATATTGGAGAGTGGCTTGGATTTGTGCATGGGGGGGATGCCTGTGGTGCTTGGGGGGGTGGGGCATGAGTGCATGACAACAGCTGAGATTGGGCCAAGAGGACTACAACCATCAGGAAAAGGGCCACCCAGATGGCATGCTGGATGTTGGAGGAGAGGGATGGGATTCTTGGAACTGGCATTGAGGATTATTGGTATGAGATATGTAGTGTGGCTGCACATGAGCATGGGAAGGGGGTGGGGAAGGGGGGATGAGTTGCATCACTGCATGGCAACTGAGGCTCCATTGTGTGGGTGAGGATTGGATGCATTTATATCAGGATGGTGCTGGCTGAGGATTTCAGTGCCCTGGCAACCATGCATGCATGATTCCATGAGCCCATTTGTGAGGCAGTTGAAACACCATGCCATGCTGACAAGGTGACATGAAGGATCAATACAATGATGCCCCTGCCAGCAATGCTGAGCTCTGTATGGAGATGCTGGCAAACCTGAAAACATGCATGGCAGATGGCATATTTTGGCCATATACAGGTGGCACTGATGAGTTCACTGGCATGATGCATGGTGAGAACCCCCACAGTTACCTGGTAATTGGTTAGTTAATCAATCATGTGCCCATGAGAGCAAACCATGTGAGTTCCTTGCCATGAAAGCATGCTTCTGCCAATGTGAACTAAGGATGGAAGGATTGGATCAGGCATGAGTTCCTGGCCATCAAACCCTTGATGGTGAGTGAGAGTGATTAATTAGCTGAGCATCATGAGCAAAAGAATGAAAATGTGCTGGGGGCATGAGCAAGGCCAATGGACCATGCAGTTGCATGTGCAGGCACTGATGGGCAAGCTTGGAATGTGAGTATGGCAGCACTTTGCAGCATTTTTGGCATCAAGCATTGGTAGCATTGTGTGCATCTGAAGCCATGGTGAGAATTGAGCCCATTCATTTGATGGCCATGGTGGTGGTCATGTGGGCTATCAGCTTGCAGGTGATGATGACCAATGAAGTGACTTGGATGCATCAGTGAACAAGCAGTGCATGCATGCATTGGAGAGAGAGATGAGTTAATGCATTGTCTGAGGGCATGATCTGGCCCATGCTGGCACTGGATTTGGCCATTGCCATATGCACATCAGCCTATGTGCTGCATGGGAGATTGAGGAAGTTGAACATGGCCTTGTATTACACCAATGACTATTTGATGCATTTGGATGGGAGGACATGGGTTGCTGTTGATGCATGCATGTGAATGTTGATGGATTTTGCATGTTTTCCTGGCAGGATGGCCGGCCAATTTAGTGGAATGAGGGACAAGGCCAATGTAGTGCATGCGAGGATCAGAGACATCAGGGGGTGGGTCCTGGAGGATTGGCAGAAAAGGACATGCAGTGATGAGAAGAGATTGGGTTTGGCGAGAAAATGGCTGCTCGTGGAGTATGATGCATGGATGTGTGCATCATTGAAAGCACCATGGGCAGAGATTTGAGCCATTGCTGCAAATAGTAAACATGTAGAACACATTTGCACATGGGTAGCATCATGTTTGGGAATTTATGACCTGTGTTTTGCAAGTGATTAAGGCACGCTGGCATGGACCAAGATGCAATGCACATTCATCAGAATGATGCTTAGCAAAGATACCAGTGACTTGGCATGAAACAATTAGCATGACCATTAACATTTCAAGAAAGAGAATGCATTGAATTTGCATCACTTTTGTAATACTGAGGTGAGATCTTCAATAGCTTCAATGATGAGGATGCAACATTCCATGAGCTTCAGGATGAGATGCTGCGCAACATGAAAGCTGCCACCATGACACACATCTTCAAGCCCATTAGCCAACATAGCCAGCATTTTGAAGACATGATGAGCGATGCTCATGGCACTGGAGGCTTGGCATCATAAATAATGCAGCATTTGCATGCTATTGACCAAATAGTTAATTAATTCACTAGCATGTCCTCATGCATTATCATGGGACCTAAGGATTGGTCCATTGGATCCACCATGAGCTGACATGCCTGAAGGAGTTCATTGGCAATGATGATGCCAACATGACAATGGCCATGAGCCAGATGGCACATATGCCAGAACCCAGTATTAAGCAATATTGGGATTGGCTGCAAATGGGGGCTCCCATCAATATCAAAGAGTGAGGATGAGCATGGGAGCATGAGCCACGCATCAGTTGCCTTTGTGAGTTGATGCTTTGTTTGGAGAAATATGAATGACACAATGACATGGCTCATGAACTTGACATGGCTCATGGACCACTGAGTCTGAGGCCCCATATTTGGACACACACCTCTCAAGAGCTCATGCCAGCAGCGCATGTCAGCTGTATTGAGACGTGTCCAAATGAGACCAGGAACCATTAGATATGTTGATTGATGGATTTCATTATGACCAGAATTGGGCCTCAGTTCATGGGTTCCACTATTACAAGCAAATCAGAGTTGCAAGATGCCAAAGCATGGGCTGGCTGGTGGGGGGATGAGGCAAGGTACCAGGTGAGCATGAGTTGAAACATGAGTTGAACCATGAGTTGAAACAATTGAAACCATGGATGAGCTGAAACATGTGGACTGGTTTGAAACATGAGCTGAAACATGGATTGATCTACAGTTGCTTCATGCAGCTGCAATAAGCTCATCAGCTATAGAAGCATAGCCTCATCCTCATTGGATCAGTGTGATGGCCATGAAAACCCTGAAGACCATGCAGATGGCTATGATGAGCATGAAGGCCATGCTGCTGGTGGTCATGCTGGCATGCAGCATTCAAATGGCATGGCAGCGTCCTGAGCCTTGGCAATTAAGCTTGGGCATTGCACATGTTAATCAATTTGTTTGCATTTGCACTGATTGATTGAGGACATGAGATTGATCATTACACTCACATGGGTGATGGGCATGGCCTTGTGGATATGCTTCCACATGATGATGTACATCAACAAGATGATCAGCAGGGTGCAAATGTGCAGTGAGAAGATTAGCAATTTGGAAATGAGGACATGCTTCAAACATGACATGGGTTTCATGCACTTAAACACATTATTCATTGTCCTTGCCAGGATGGATG